TATAAACAAGTTCATTCTTCACCTGTAAAATGTCCCACTTGGTCAAATTAAAGAATCCTTATTAACCAAATTTTCACATTGTCACGTGTTTAAAAAAGTCCCATATGCTATTGGACTAAAACAGTCACCATTAGTTGGGGTCCATTTGAAGTATGGCGTCATTGTAATGGAGGAAGTTTTTTTTTTTTTTTTTTATACAGATCAAGCTAGTACACCAAGGATTCAGCTTAATGGCATGTGTAGCTACCTTTACAAATGTAGTTTAATTACTTCAAAGTCATTTTTTCAGGTTGTTTTAATTTTGGTTGGTGTTTGTACTAACACATGAGTATGAAGCAAAGGAGAAAAGACAAAGGTAGAGTGTGACAAGACAGCAGGATAGGAGGGGGCAGGAAGACAGAGTGAGGAGGAGAGGGACAAGTTCCTAAAGAGCCAAAGAAAAGATGCCGTATGAGTCAAAGTGGATGAGGCAAAGGAGAGGTGAAGGACAGCCAGAGACGGAGAGATGAATGAATAGACAGATGTCAAAGATAGGGGAGAAGAGAGGATGAAAGGAAAGGGGGGGCTGAAGACAGGAGTGACAGAGTGAGCAGTAGATACAGAGGGAGAAACTGACAGGGCTGAAAGGAAGGAAGCAGGAAAGAGGGAGACAGAACAGGAGGCAATGGCGCGAGGAAGACAGACAGAAAAGGTGGATGGAGGAATGGACAGAGGTGGAGAGACGGATGCACCAAGTCAGCTGAGGACAGACAGATGAAGGGGAGGGCCTGAGGGAGGAATGACAGGATGAGATGGATGGATGGGAGGAAGAGGGAATGGATTAAACTGAGAGGGGGAGAGAGGGGACTTTGATACCTTTGTGTATGTTACACTGAACCTCACATGAGATCGCACTGTATTAGTAACAGTTATTTCAAACTGGATGCCAAGCAGGCGCACACAGCTAAATCAAAGTGAGTGAATCTGTTCCAGAGAGCATCTAATTGAGGGGAAAACAAGGCTAAGAGCCAATTACAGCTGGTAATAACATGCGATCTGTATCTGGATATCTCACCTGGATAATGGCATCTGATCACAGCACTGCATTTACACCTGGTATTATCAAGTGCTCTGGATATTTCAATTCCGTCTAGACTGTGATTGGTTCTGAATATGATAATTATGTTTCCAGGGTGAAGGTTGCTATATGGATAGTATTTGTTTTTCTTTGTACGGGAATAAGCTGTCTGTAGCTTTTTGCCTGAGATAGCAGGAGGTGGAGGAGTTAGTTGACCTTTAAGTTTGTGAGGCAGATTCTTTTGACCCAACCTGCACACAGGTGTTCATAGCTAGAACTGGACAAAGTCAAATGACAGTGTCAATCTTGCATCCTTGAGAGGAGGCCTGACCAATGTCAAGGCATAGTGTGTCTGCTCCAGAGTTCAAGCTAATTCATCCGATATTAAGATATACTGCTCTAAACCAAAGTGGTGGACCATCTACCTAACCCACAGACATCGGCCTACCCAGAATAACACCTCTGAGATGGCTAGAAGATTAAGAAGGAAAGAACAACAAGCGCGTAGAAAGGGAAAAGAGCAATACACAATTCATTCATAAGAGCAATAGGAGAGTCAAAAACAAACATAACATGTTTTAAGCAGTTCTAAGAGAATGATCAAGCAGAGGAGGAGTGAAAAAATAAAGTAGTTTAAGGGAGAGCGGGAGAGGCTGAAAGGATAACTACGACTCCAGTTACTCAGATACACACTAATGATGGGCTTCCTGGAATGGCAGCCAGTGGAGCGACATCCAAAAAACCTTTCCAACACTCTGGTGGCTGAATGGTTACAGCACATGCGATATAACCGCAACGTCCACTGTTCAATTCTGGTTGTGGACCTTTGGTGCATGTCATACTCACTCCCACTTAACATAATTCCTGTCTACCTCTTCACTGTTGACTATCAAATAAAGGCAAAAAATGCAGAAAAACATTATCTTTAAGAAAAAAACCTTCTAGAATTTGGGTGTATGTGCCACACAGGAAGAAGCAGAAGAAGAACTCCTGCTCAAATGCAGCCAGGTTGAAAAAACAAAGTTAGCAAATCGAACAGGGATCGAGGAGAATGATTGATGAAAAATACATTAGGCAGGATAGATGAAAGTGATGAAACATGGTGTGGGAAGGAGGGATGGGGAATGAACAGCAAAGTTTAGAAGGGAGTTTCACAACTCGGTATGAAAAATACCTTGCTAAAAAGTCTATTAGTAACACAGTCAGTTTCAAACACCTGAAAGCAAGAGCGAATGTGCTCACACACCTCTGAGAGTGAGAGTGCAGCCAAGTGAAACCGAATAGCTGAATAACTAATGGACATAATGTTCAAATAAAACCACAGTACGGTTTTCACTCTTGTCATTTCCACTCAAATGTAATACTTGTCCCCTTGTAAAGAGTGCATTTCCCCTACAATTTAGATGGGTGCAGATTGCGTTTCTGTTGGAGAGCCTTGTTCTCTTTCCCGCTGTCAGCTGTGGCTGCTTAGAGTTAAACCTCAGCCTGACATGAAAGCTGTGCAAATGAAAAGTGTTGCTTGTGACAGCTGAAACTTTCAACATGTGCCGTTTGATGCAGGACGCTGCCCAGATTCAAGTAATTACTGCACTCCTGCCAATTCAAATGACCTCAATTCCCCAAGACGTCACATTTCCACAATGATATGAGGTTTTCTCTTCAGGACAAAGAGGATATGACAAACTGGTGCAGGGCTGGAGGGGAGGGAATCTGTAATACACGAGCATGGCTTTCTATCAACTTATTTTTTCTGTGATAGGAGCATAATACCACAGGGTGAGTGTGTACCTGAGTATATCTCAATGCATGTGCACAATCAGGTTCAAAAGCTGTTTCACTCTGAGAGGAAAGTGCATCTAGAGAAGGAGGAGAGATATCGAAGAACAAATGGAGGGAGTGTAGAGGTGGCATGAGCCTTCCCCATCTCATTTTGTTCTCACGAATAATGGCGCATGACATCCTTGGTGAATTGCAAGTAGATGAAAATATTAGTATGATATTGTCCTAGTTCTTCAGTGTCCCTTATCCTCCTTTTTTTTCTTTTTTTTTTTCCAAATGTATTAGATATATGACACCGTATTGAATAGCAGTAAGAGAAAGGCCCGGGAAGTTTACATTGCAATATTATCTGCTATATATAGATGAAATACATGATTTATGATGAATATCCTATATTCCTCCTATATTATTGCTTCATAAAAAAAAAAAAACACCACAGCATGGCTCTGCTCAAGTTTTATACAGCGAGATAACAGAAAATAACAGATAAGAGAAAAGAAAACTTTGATTTAAATAGGTTACATTGTGTTATATGAATTAAAGCAGGTATAAAAAATTATCTGTGTATGATATTATGATATTCTTAATTGCTAAGCACCTACCATACAGCTACATTGGCTATATTGAGTTTACGTTTGCTTTAAAATCTAATCAGGACGAATTCATTATTTATAAAAAATTGTTAGAAATTAAGATTATTTGTTAATTTAAGACCTTTTCCCCTTTAATGTCTAATATCTATTGTATATCAGGTCACCTTGTCCATTCCGAATTTTTGACCACTAATAGCACTATGGGCCATTGTCCTAAAATGTTATCGTTATTGCTTGAGAATGGCACTTTATTTAAATACCATATTTCCTTAACTGAGCTCAACTCTGGGCACACTCAGGTGCCACTGTCACCCCTGAGTCCAGACCAAGTATGTAACAAGTGGGTGAACATACATGTTTTTAAACTCAAATGAAAAACAAATGTCAGGTGTATATCCTCAGATAAACCAGAGAAACATAGAAACTCCAGGCTTACAAAGACAAATATATAATAGAGGTGACCTAAATTGTGCCAAGTTTTCATTGATGACAAATGTTATGCATCTCATATTTGTCTTTGCGACTTTCACTCACTTGGATATCAGTTTACTCATGAGTTTTGTCAGTCTTACACAGCTGATTTATCTCACTCTGGTGCAATGCAAATATAGCAATTTGATCAAAGAGCTTCTTTGTGTTGTTTTTTAACTGTACACAAAGACAAGAGATGAAAGAACCCAAACAAGAGTGTAGACACTGATAAAGACAGCAAGAAAATATAGCATACAGAGTTGTCAGTCATGTGTGGTTGCCATAGGAACAGATGAAATCATTTTGTTGCCATGCAAACCTCCCCCCTGCCCATAACTTCCGGCATTAGTTGCTCTGATTGTTAGTCTGTCAGCTTAATTCATTAATTGAGCTGATTATGCAGGAACTCAAATATGAATTAGTGTAATTGTAGTTTTCTGTGTGTACACACATCAGTGCTGAACAAAGAGTTATGGTGTCTGGGTGTGACTGAAGAGCCTACACACCTGTGTGGTGTTTTGTGTTTATGTCTTGTGTGTGTATTAGTGTGAGACCCATCTGTATTGTTTCAGCTGAGCAAATCTCACAGGTCATCGGTGGAGCGGAATGCTATTTATATCTTTCATTATCCTCTCATTCTCACCTCTTCTTCATTCCCATTGTCTCTCACCCTCTCTCTGACCTCATCTTTTAGCTTTTCTCTTCACTGATTCCACCTGTTCTAGCTCTCTCTCCCAATATCTCTCTCTTACACCCATCTCTTTGTACCTGTCAGCTTTCTGTCAATCTCGTCTTTCCCCAGCTTGTCCATTCTCCACATTCCTTTTCTTTTTTGTCCTTTCTTGCTTCTTCCTCACATACTTATCACCTCTATTCTTTTCTCAACTCTGCCAACAACCTCCTCTACCTCCAACCTTCACTCTCTCTACTTCAGCGACTCTACAGAATGGGAACCATCTAACCTTGAAGCTGCACACCTGTCTGTGGACAGATGATACCCAAGAACACACAAACACACACACACACAATGACAACCGCTGCAACCATCCAGCTGCCCACAGTTCTAAACCCATTCACACCTGAAAACATCTGCCACTTACTCAGTGATTTCTTCGGTGACCGTGTGTTCAACCTGGAGTCGGGAGTTGACTTCAATAAAGTAGTGTTTGCCATGTTTGTCCACCAGGAACTCCACAGTCCCTGCGTTCTCGTATCCCACCTGCAGAAAAAAAAAAAAAAAAACACATGGCAAGAAACCCGTTTTACTGCACTGAATTATCCAAGTCATAAAATTAACTGTGTAAACACTCAAGAAGCAGCACTCACTCATCTTAATGAGCCATGACACCAAAGAAACAGAAAACTCCCATCCTCTCTCCACGCATATATGACTACATAAAATGAGTAAAGAACAAGCATCATGTTTTATTTGTGTGGAAAGAGGAGGGTCTTTTTCATCATTTATCTGTAATATAATAATTAGGTCATTAATCAAGGGGGATATATTGAAAGCCTAACCTCATAAAAGACCATTTTCCCTTCTACAACACTGTAATCAGACTCAATCAGTGTCAGGTACATAAATATGAAAGGATTTCTCAGTTTTATGGTTGCACAGATGTTAATCTTCCTCCTGAGCTCAGTCATACAGTGTAAACATGGTATACAGAAGACTGCATCTTACATATTCACACATAACCAGCAGACAGTGATGGGATCGGGCTATATGTACATCACATATGCCTTGTCACCTAAAAGTTCAATTAATACACAATTAATTTGGTTTGTAGGATCTTTTTTTCTTGTTAACATAAGAAAAGATTCATTTTGAACAGATTTGCAAAACTCAAAAAATTCAACAAACTCAAACGTAATCTTGATTCAATGATCCACTGACAAGCTTTTTCTGAGTTTTCAACCATATCTCACGGTCTTTACCCAAGATAAGTCAGTTTTATCCATACAGACAAAAATCACTAATTTGCCTTCAAGGGCTTTACAGTTTCTACAGCATCACACACTCCCTCTGATCTCAGACCTTGGATTTGGATGAAAAAAACAACATCACGAATAAAGCAGAAGAGGAGGGGACCCCTCATCCAGGACAGACATATATGCAATAAACATTTATAACTTGGACGGAAATAGCAATGGTAAAATTACAATATGAATAAACAGAGAGAAGGTGTTAGGTATATAATGTGCTAACATAATGACAAATATGGATCAGAACAGTTCAATTTCCATGCTCATTTCTGCAAACTACTCACTGCCATCACATGTTCATACTGAATGTGTCTGTAAATTTTCACCATCAATGCATTTCATTTGTTTTCCCACTACAGTATCTGCTACCAGCGAATAAATCATGGTTTAAACGTTCAGGCAACTTGGTTAATGTTAGGGAAATGATCACGGTCTTGGGTAAAGTAAGTAAGTAATACTGAGTGGAATGACATGAAAAAAGCTTATGACAGAAAGCATAGTGCCTGAAACCTCTTACTGCATATCTTTGAGGTACAGGGATCATTACTGTTATTCATTCAAGGATAACTCAGCTTTTAACAACACTCAAAAGCTTTTAAAAAGGTACAAACCATATCTTTGATGTAGGACTTCCACATTTAGTCTGCCAAAAGAACCATTTCTCTTCTAGGAACAGAAATGTTCTCATTTTAATCAGTACCGTGGTGTGCAAAGTCACCTTTTAAAACGCATTGTGCTGCTCTTTATACCTTTTAAAACAATTCAATAGCTAGTTTTATTGCTTGTTCTTCATTTACTAGACAATAACAACTGATAATCCAGTCTCTGGTAACGTCCTCAGACATGGCTGTTTTTGCACAGCTTTTTTAATGACTATTAATGTTGGAACTTATCGAATCGGTGTATTTTCCCAACTTCAGAGTCACCACTGCGTCAAAATATTGTGTCATATTCTCACATACTGATTTTCACTGGCTTATGAAGCAGGATGCTGCACTGTAAAACCCTAGCTGCAGCTCCTTCTCATTATTTTTCATAATTTTTACATTTTATTGTTACATCTCTGCAAAGCTTTGGTGGAATTTGACTAAAATCTAATGCCACACCTGTATATAAATGTTATTTTTGAAGACTAGATAAGAAAAAAAAATCTCAATATACAATCATCTAGTGTAATTAGTATGCTTTGCTAAGATCACCCTCAATGGATTGTTCTTTGTTTTTCAGTCACACGTGGCTCCATTCCGAATAAAACATGATAATTGTGAGGGAAATTAGCATGTTGGTATATCAACACCAGCGCTTTCCATACTCATCCTTCAAAACTCTACTTTGGGATGTCTCAGCTCCAGTTTAATTTTACCCAGTGGGAGCTGCAAGCAGAGTGTAATTGCTATATAAATGCTATATAAATAAAGTTTATCATTATAATTTTGAGACTAGGCGGGTTTACACAAATTACACTGATGATTTGAGCAAAGCAATCTGATTGGTGTTCCAACCATTTCCACCAATTTAACCAATCCAGGCGACTCATTCCAAGCTCCTCAGATCAGATCCAGCCACATCACTGATTATTCTTATAATCAGAGCCTTGCCATGTTACGAACCATACGCCCAGTTTGAGCAAAGTAAATAATGAAAGAAAACATCAGAATGAAATTAGAGAGGTGTGAGCAAATGTCAAAAAACACAAGCAGTAAATCCATGTTTGCCAGGAGGCACAGATGTGAAAAAGTAAAGCACCACCCATCTGTAAAAGTCTGTCTATAGCTGTTTGATGAACGGACACTTGTGTTTTCAGTTTCTACACTCTCTCCTTGCAGTGGAGAGCATATTGGGCGAAAACAGACTGAGTAAACAAATCAAAATAAAAAGTAAAGAAAGTGAACGATCCAATTTATTCACTGTATGTTTAGTCAAAAATTGTTAAGACAGACTTTAAGACAGTACTTTTATTGACGATTTTATTGATTGCCAATATTTGGTGAGCATAAATGTCAAGATAATCAAATGGGTAGAGGAAAAGAAAGGGGCAGATTGCAGAGACAAAGATGGCCCTAAGGTAGAAAAGCAGCAATTACAAATTTGCAACTGAATGAGCACAAAACAGCCTAAACGAATAGCTCACAAATGTTGGAGATGCATTTAAAATGAAAAGTTTATCATGCATAATAAACAGGTGTATAAACAAATGTTTTGCACAAGTAAAACATATGCTCAGAAATGTGTCAACCTCTCAGCAAGACCATAACTAATAGAATTACGTTTGTTGTGAAGAGAACTCATCTCAAGAGGAAATTAAACACAATTCAGGAGCACAGTACACACACCCACATGTAACACGTGTTATATTCAGTGCAACCTTGTAAGACATCATCTGTGTAATAATATTCAGACACTCTCAGTTAGGATAGTTTTCTCTGCAGAGAGAAATTACTCCCATTTGCAGCATCTGTAGATCCCCACAGGTTCTACCAGAGACTCATTAAAGGGATCATACATACCTCAACACGCAACTTAACATGTATAGAAACAAATTAAAATGTATGAGCATTAACACATACACACTGGGGTGTGTGTCACATACAAACACATGAAACCTATTGACACCAAACACAAAGCCAGCCTGCTGTTTTGTTCTTTTGTGAAAATTACACAGTTAAGGGGTAGGGGGGTGTGTGTGTATGTGTGTGTGTGTGTGTGTGTGTGTGTGTGTGTGTGTGTGTGTCTCCTGTGCAGAGCAGTTCGGATGATAAATATAGAGCCTGTGACCTCAAGAACACACAAAGTGCAAATCCATAAACATGTGTAGAGTATATATGTCTACATGCATATAAACTACATACAAGCACAGATACTGTAGTACACTGTATATGCTTACCACTAGGCTACTCTGCTCTGAGAAGACATGCACTCACACACAAAATGCTAATTTACAGAGTAACCTCTCTCTTAACCTTTTGTGTGCAGCTAGATTTTTTATTGTACTTGTGCATGTTTGTGCACGTGCTTCCTGTACAGCCTGCAGAAGGGATGACAAACACATATAGCTAGTACCCAAGGCCTCACTGATAAACTGTAACAGTGAAAGATAGTAACAGTAAAAACTAGCACCAGCCTCACACCGCTCCATAGACTTTAAGCACACACAAATTCACACAGACCAATTTGTGTCATTCCACATTGGACTGACCCTCCCTCGCTCGCTCACACATACTGACTCAATGAGTGGTAGTAGCAGCCAGTGTAACAGATTGAGTGGTCACTGTTTTATAAGGTCTGACAGCCAAGTCAATGGGCTGTACTGGCACAAGGTGAGGTCACAGGGGTGCCACAGACACACATGAAAAAAAGCATAGTGTACACTCACACATTTAGCTCCCTGCTGCCAACCACTTCGTGTGTGTGCTTTATGCTTAAATGATTCCAGCACTGATGAATGTACACTGGTGGTTAGCTTTGACTAGAAATTGACAGAGACAGACAGCTGGAACTGTAAAGCACAGAGAGCAAAAATGCATTAAGAACAACTCATTAGTAGCGGAGGAAAAGGGGTGATTGTAAATGGATAAAAAGAGAGAGGGAGTTAAAGAGAGATTGGTGGATGGATCAAATGAGGACAGAGACAAGGAATCAAAGTGTTCAGTGGGAGTGGGGAGACAGGACAAAGATGTACGGAGTGAAAGAGTGGATTAGAGTCATCAGGGAGTGGAAGAATAGCAGAGAGCCTCAGAGAGGGAGGCACTGTCAGTATCCTTGTTTCTCTCTCTGTCCAAGCACTTCAGCTTGAAACCATATGCATCCTTGTTACGAGATGTCAAAATTCTAATTCAACAAGGAGTCCTGACAGCACCTCCCTCCCCCATCTCCTGTCTGTACAAGGTGATGCTGCAACAGGAACACAATCACCACAAGTGGGTGACTCAAGGAAAAACAAAAAGAATTCCTATGGATCTTACAAATCGTATTGTAGTTTCTGATATTTTTGACTGCAGAACAATGTAGTATTTGGGTGAGAAATGCTGCTGCTGACCTCTGCATCCTTCACAGCCACAGTCTTGTCAAATCATTATTTCTGAAAGGCTGATTATCATAAGGCAGGTGGACTAGTTTTATCTTTAGTTTACCTCAGCTGCCAACATAGTCTGAGCAGTCTTGCTCAGCCAGACCTCCAGATCTCCACAGCGCTGTGTCAGCACTGGAGAATGGTCTGGTTGCACCCATTATCAT